TTTCTTCCCTAATATCTGCATATTATCCAATCTCACCGTCGTAAGCCTCGCGTCTTCCACATCCACAAATCTAGCAAAGCCAAATTTCTTCCCAATGTTGTTTCTTCTAGGAGAAATTGCAACCTCCACCACCTTACTAATGCACCCAAACAAATCAAAGAGCTCCTTAGCTTTGTATTCATCTGGAAACTCAGAGAAATAGAAAGATGTGACCCCTTCTCTATTTTTATCTCCTACTTCGCTTCCCACCTGAAAGGTATCCCAACGAGGAACCCAGTTCCTAAAACTCTTCCTTCTCGCTACAAACCATTCTTCTTTCTGGTGCGGTAATCCGCCGCTCATTCCGGAAACGACCCCAAAACCTAGCCCCTTTCCAGAGAGAAGCCTAAGCTCTTACGCCTAAGGTAGGTATGGAAAAATGTTGTATATATTTTTTATATTTGTTGGCATTTAAATTTGCAGACTTGCACACATTTGATTGTCATTTAAACCATAAAATTCTACATTATTATGTAATTGTGCATATAGATGTTACAAATTGTTTTAACATTATACAAAGGATAATAGTACATCAAGAAGAATAGTACAACAAAAGATGACAACTTTCCATCCATCCTTAATTCTGAGTTTAACATGGTATCAGTGTAGGTTCTTATCCAATCCAACTTTTCTTATTTTCAATCCTTTATATCTTGTATTTCCAAGTCTCTTGTTCTCTCGTTCCCTCATTTTTCTGCTAGATGTCCTATCAATTTATCTAGCTTATTGTTTTTTTTCTTGCTTTGATCATTTTTCCAAAATTATGTCTACTAACAAGTTTGATGTCCTCTTTGTTCTCCTAAATGAAAATAATTATTCCACTTGGACATTCTAGTTACATATATTTGTTAAAAACGAGGAGTTTTAGGATCATGTTGACAATACCGACCTCACTTCTAACACAACAATTCACAAGGAGGCACATGCCAAATGAGAAGCCAAAGAAGCACAAGTTATAACATGAACCATAGACTTTATTGATCCTAATATTGTCTTCATTATCCAAAAATTTACCACAACTAAGATGTGGGAATATCTAAAGAAAATTTATAGCCAGAACAATAGTGCTCACAAGTTCCAACTTGAACATGAAATGTCTATTTTTCAGTTAGAAAATCTTTCAATTTCTAAATTTTATTCTCATTTATTGAATCTTTGGGCTGAATATACTGACATTATTTATAGAGATATTTCAAATGAGGGACAAAATACAATATAAACATTCCATTAGACCACAAAATGAAACCAATTTCTTATAAATTGAGATTTAATTTTGAGGCTATTCAAACTAACCTTGTGAACATCGTTATTTTCCCTTTCTTAAATGAATTTTAGATGAATTCCTGAATGAATTACTTCATGGAGAACAAAACCTTATCACTCAAATAATCATGGAATAAAAGAAGTTGTCCTTCCTTCATGTGGGGTATGTCGTACAAGACAAACCTCGAAGGTGTGACGTGAGTAATGTCTAATGTTTATGTTGCAAAGGTCTTAAACATTTTTCTTCTCATTGTCTTAAAAAGTTCACCAACTATTGCCAAAAAAAGGCCATGCCATTAGGAATGTCCAACTAGGCTACCAAGGAGATGTTTCAACATTCAATGTATTTGCTGATTCTACTTCTGATAATTCCCAAGATCATAATTTGCCTATTTTTATACAAAAGCTGACACTTGAAATGGTTCAATAAATTATTTTTCTCGTATTTTCTACTTTTTATCCTGACTAGAACAGTATGGTAAAATTTCGATTCATGCATTCGACCACACTTAATTCGACCACACTTAATGGAACAAGGTTTTTTTTTTGGAATTAAAATGGAACAAGGTTTAGTTGTTGTTGTACTATTTCAAGTAAAGCTTTTTCACCTACTTCTCTTTGTTATGGAGCATCTAATCACATGACCAACAATATTGATGTCATGTATATGGTAACAGTTTATCTATCACAACCATCAATTTTTTTCCCGTCTCTCATAAATGTTTATGGGTCTCATAATCAGGGTCGGCCCTGAGTCAGGGCAAGCAGGCCTATAGCCCAGAGCCTAAAAAAATGGGACCTCAAATGTTTAATTTATGAACTTTGTAAATTAAATACAAATATATTAAATAAAATATATTTTGATTATTGACTGGAGTGAGAAAGTAGTTGAGTGGTTGGGAGAGTTATTCAGAAATCATAAGTAATCCCATGTATTCGGTTCAATTCCTATATAAAGCTATTTTTTGAAATTCCACAATAAAGTTGGCCTATTAAGGTTTCAAGTTTGTTTTAAATTACTTAAAATTATATTTTAAAATTTTAAGATTCTATAATAAATCAAGTATATTTATTTAATTATTTTGTAATTTTTTTAAATATTAAAATATCACTTAAATTTAATGTTATTTTAAATAAATAAAAAGTTATAAAAGATTATTGTTTAGATACATTGTTTTAAAAAAATTAAATAATTTTGATTATATTATATTTTTTAATGATAAATATTTAAATAATTAGATTTAAAACTATTTTTTATTTTATAAAAAATAATTGATAATAGCTTCTAATATTTAAAAAAAAAAATTTATATAATCATAATATATTTTAAAATATGTCAAAACTTTTGTGTATACAAATATCTAAGACTTAAGAATTAAAATCAGAAACTTGATCTAATTCTAAAATTAAAAGATTAAGTGATTGTCATTTTCAGGAAAAAAATCTAAGAACAAAGAATTCTTTAAAAAACTCAACAAATTAATTCAAATGTTGAAGGGTAAAGAGATGATTTTAAGAATCCTAAAAGAATCATCATCAATTTCATTTTTTAGATTAATTATCTTCCAAAGAATCATCGCCTGCTAATGAATAAGTTTCATCAAAGAGTATATGTTTCGAACAATGAAAATGATAAAGAAACTTCAATCAGCAAAATATTTCAAATAAGAAATGATAGAGGATTTCATAAATAATGTCAAATAGAATTGAACTCATGTCATTGAAAAATGCAAGTTCTACCATGACCTACCAAGATAATCAAACTCTTTGCTCGTATGCACTTTTACATTTATATATAATCATTTCTTAATCACTAAAAATAAAACTCAAAAAAGGAAAATCAAAATTCAAAGTTAATTATTCATTTTTTTATTAGGGGTCAATTTTTATTATTGTCTTGAGCTTCTAAAAAGTATGGGTGGTAAAACAGGTCGGGTCTGCCGGGCTAGTCTGTTTGACCCACCACTTTTGACAGACTGGGCTGAAGTTTTCAGCTTGGTACTTTAAGTTGGTCCGCCCTGCCTAACCCGTTTTAAAAACGGGCTTAGGCGGGACAGGACAGATTTTGCCCGCAGACTTTTTGTTACAACTTTTTACTTCTTACTTAGAATCAAGACAACTTTAACTATAAAAACAAAAGTATCCTCTTTAGGCTATGGTGATTGAATTACATTCTAAATTATTATACAGACAAATTGAATTATAATTGTAAGGTTCTTTATATAACTTTCTAATACATGTATTGGTTGAAAAAATTTGAAATAAAAAAACAATTGTATGGCATGAAAAATTATTAAGTTGTCAATACATTAACTCACATGTTTTTTTTAGAAACAAATGTAGATTTTAAGAAAAGGAAGAATTTAATTAGAGTATACGTATGACAAATTTAAGATATAACTATTAAGGAATCAGTCAATATAATAGTCTTTATGACGTAAACAATGAGAAAGTCAGATGTTAATATTTTATACACTACTATTTTATGCATTGTGATGTTTTATGCAATGTTATCATTATCTGTCTTGTGCAAATTATTAATTGGATTCTTTTAGTAATTAATTTTTAAATAGGATTATGATGATATATGTTGTTTATTTATTTGTTTATTTTGTTACATTTTTTTATCGTGCTAGAGTATATTTCGGTATATTTTTCTTGAAACTGGTTTTTACCTATTTTATTCTTTAAGTATTTGGACTTAAGACATGTTGAAGTTATATTGTGTATTGTTAAAAAAATATCTTTTATAAGCTTTTTTAGTAATGATTAATTTTTTTTTTGTAAATTATGTAATAAATTAAATAGTAAAATTAAAAAATTAAAAAAATTGACGGATAACGGAGCAGACTTGACTTTTGAAATCGAATGCTTAAATTTGCCCGCCCCACTCCATTTTTGTACGGGCTCAAACGGGACGCGCCTAAACGAGACGGACCGCCCATTTTGTCATCCCTACTAAAAAAGTCAGGACCGGCGGAGATTAAATATGGACATATTTTTCCATTCAATGTTGTCTTCATGTTATTTACCGCCTTTTATTTCTTGTATTTTTGCAACAGTTAGTTTCTAACTATGACAGTAAGCTCCAGACAAGCTCAATTACTCCACAATAAATTTTGGGTCCACCATCCTCCATCCTAAATGAATAGAGCTATTGATTCAAAAATAATCTATGAGTTAATGATTTAGTCACAACTATTCTCTCTTGCAACTTCCTTAAACACTTTACCTCCAAGGCGTAACAATAACATTCATTGTCTTATTGACATCAATGTCTCCTCATTCAACACATTCGCACACTTTTGTTGAATTAAAACTACTACTGGCATCTTCGACGTTTATATCTTGAAATTGAAATCTCAAAAAAATTCTCAATGTCCATTTTGTATTTATGGAGCTCACTTAAATTTTTTTATCATACTTTCCCTTGGTAGAAGTCACTTAACGGAAATTCAAAAACTTTTGTTCAACCTAAATACTAAACCTCAGAAATAATAACTTTGTGGAGAACAACCACAGTCAAATTAAAAGAGAGATAAAAGAAAAATAAGAACAAACACACCCGTATTTATTTACTAAGTTTGATATAAAATGATCCAAGAAGAAGAGAGCGGCTATCTCTTTTATTATGAATTGATTGTTAAAAACAAGTTACAAAGAAATTAGCTTTGAATATTCCTTAATTTTTACTCTTTTCACACAAGAAGATCTAAGAGAAAGCTCACTAACATAATGTGTTTATAATGTGTTTTCCAAAACAAATAATCTCCTGCAGAAACAAAGCAACAATCTGACCTAGGCACCTCGTACCTAACATAACGATCACCTAGGCACCTCGCACCTCTGTTCATCTGCTCGTAGATGAAACAGAACCAAAACTCCACAGAAACATCAGACACTGACCTCAAGGCCCTGTTGAGCACCTTACAAGTGTTGTAATGTTTAACTTGCAACTGTGTCCATCTGCTGCTCGCTGATGAAACAAAACCAAAACTCCACAAAAAAACATCAGACATGGCCTCACAACCTTGTTGAGCACCTTGCAGGTGTCATAATGGTTTTGAGCAAAAAAACTTAGTTCATTCTTTGTATCTAGAGATTTTAAGACATACATAACATAATTTTTTTTTAATAATAATGCATCTAATTTATTAAAAAAAATGTCAATATTTTTAAAGAATCTTAAAAGTGTAATGCTGCCATTGCATTTTATAGGTATCACACGCTAACAAAAAATACACAAGCAATATCTCACGTATTTGATATAATCTAAAAATATTTACAGAAATACGACCTTCATTGTTACCAACTGGAGCCCAATCGGTTCCCTAAAATTTCTTTTTTTATGTCAAACACTGAATTCGATGAAATTTCTTACATTCAGATCAATAATGAAGACAAATAGAAGATTACATGAAATTATGGATGCAAAATCAAATTTGCACATAATATACATATACAAAACCACCCAACAGGTCAAGACCAAAAATAAAAATACATCACAATAACAACCATCTTAATTACCTGTTTCCTAGTAGCCCCATCAAGAACTTAATTCTGCATGGCATAAAACTGAGGAGCCAGTTCAGTTAACCATAGGTGGTCAACTCTGGTTAAATTGCGAACATACTTGTTAGTAGTTTGGATCAGTTCATTAAATATAATGCACTCTGGTTTTTTCCGGAACAATACAGAAGAAGGGTGGATCTGCACCACTTCACCACTTGCCAACGCCCTGTTGTAAGGGTTCCAATTAGCAGTCATAATACCGATAAAAAATTTGAAACAAAACAATATTTTAATCTGCCCAAATTGGATACCTGTAGGTTCCATCTGGCTGCTTTACAGCTGCATTGAGGAAAAAGGAAGCAACAAGGCATCTGCGAAATTGAAGCATATCATCTCCACAAGAAGCAAGTTTCAGACCCATTTGTTGAGCATGTCCTTTTATCTGCCTGAAAAGGGAATTTCAGAAATGAGAATGCATCAAATGTCGATAGCATATCTTATAGATACTTTGAAATATAGTTTAAACACAATAAACAAACAACCTGTGAATGTCACGAGCATGTCTAAGAGAACGGCTATTGATAAAATTTTCTTTGCACCATTTTCTCAAAACTTTTTCGCTTTTTGCTTTATTCGTGCCCATTGTTCTCTTCTCCAATAAATCAATAGCTGCTCTATACACATTAATCAAAGTGATGTGGTCTCCCTCTGGACTTGCAAAGCACTTAGTTGCCATTCTTACCTGGCCATAAGTTGGAGAAGCACAATAAGTTAGTATAGAGAAGACAAGTTGATGTATGATAAAGACTAGAATCTTCTTATGATCATTACCAATCACATGTATTTAAACCATCCATAAGATGTTTACAAATATTTTGTTAAATGGTCAATAGGAGTGGCATAGTACATAATCATTGATTCATGTTTGCATTTACATTTCACCATAACACAAAATAGAATATGACCGGAATGAATTAAAAAGAATTCACTCTTCAAACCTCTTCATACTTGTCACGCGGAGTATAAAATATTGATTCCACAGAAAGCATTGCAACAGTTATCAACATCTCTTCCAAGCAGTTATACTCACTAGCTAAAATAAGAGCTTTGGAATAAATAGGATCCAAGGGCAGTCGAGCCATTTGCCGTCCAACTGGATCAGATAGTTGACAGTCATCTGTTAAAGCACCTAATAAAAATAGCTGCTCCAATGATTTTACAATAGCTGTCCTGTTCGAACATGTGAAAGGAACAATGCGTGAGATAACTCAGAATCTATAGAAATTTCAAATATTCGAACTCAATACTGACTGATGCAAAGGAATAGATTTTTAAATCCTTTACGCAACAATAAGTGGAACAGAAGTGTTTATTAACTCAGGTACTCTTAAGAGCAGTTACAGGTAACTTGGTAATAAGGTTTGAGAAATGTACATCATAATGACAGAAACCAGTTTAATTTGCGAAGATAAGCCAACAAATATCTGCTTTGGCTAAATGCGATATAATTTTACTTGTACTAATTTTTAATCAGAGTTGTCAATAGTGGGTACTAACTTTTTGGACTAATTATATGAATAATCTACTGATATATTTAATGTAGATTAAATAACTTTTTGGACTAATTATATGAATAATCTATATATATTAATCCCATAATCAATATATTTTAAAAGAAAGGAAAAAAAACAATGATATGAAAGAAAAAACAACCTGAAAACGAATAGAAAAACAAGGAATAAAGAACAGAATAGAGAACAAAATAGAAAAGAAGAAAACAGAAGTAGAGAAAAAGAAGAAGAATAGAGAGAAGCTTGAAGCAGTTGAGGCGGAGGAGGATATGGGCAAGAGAAGCGGCGAGCGAAAAATGCGAGAAGCAGTGAACAGAAGAAACACGATGGAGAAAGGTGAAAGCGCGAATGAGAGGAGAAAACACGAACGACTATAAAAAAAATTCCAATTTTAAAATTTTTTTAAGGGTAAAAAGGTCTTTTCGCACTCCATAAAAGCCCTAAAAGCAGAAAACCTCTCTGGGCCGGGAAGCGCTCCGCTCCCGCAACCCGCTATCCCAGCTTTCCCGGCCGCTATCCAAAACAGGGATGTGCGCCGCTCCTCCGTAGCGGAGGGTTGCAGCACCGGGAGAGAATCCCTGGATAGCGCCTGGAGCAGCTGCTATTAATAGCTGTGGTTTTAATGTTCAATTTCATAGTCCAAGCAAGGTTTTATTAGGTGATGTCTATGTATTCTTCATAGTTACTTACTTCATGAGTGTATAAATATTCCTAAAAGTCTTTCTGCATTAATATTATATGACATTCTTATTCTTATTGGTTTTTTGTTATTTGTCAAAATAAATGTCATGCCATTCTTATTCTATGTATATGAATACAATAGAACCAGTCCTTAATAATTATTTTTCAAGACACAAAAATTGAATTAGAACACTTAATAGTAATATTCAATTGGAAATCTATTCCCAAGTTTAGAACACATCACAACAAAAAGAAATCAAAGATTAATAAAGGACCTATATAGGTTGAAGGAATCCTCTAGGTAAAGATATAATAGCATCTTCCCAAGTGCTTTTAAAAAACCTTTTAAAGATCCCTATATTTTTAATAGGTTTTATTATTTTGTAGATTCCTGTAGTTTCAAGAATTTTCAAATAGTTATAGGTTCTTATAGTTTAAGCAAATTTTAAATACCCATACTCCCCAGTATTGTTAATGGCGGATGGCGGAGAGCCAAAATCCCGCCATACTGGCCGCTTTGCGGCGCCGTTATTGCGGATTATGGCGGAAAAACGCGCAATAGCGGCCGATATTTACCATTACGGTGAGCCCAAAAACCGCCATGTATATCCGCCATAGCGGCCGTGGCGGGGCAATTTGATAACACTGGTACTCCCTAATTGTGGTTAGCTTTCAAATCTGTCCTTACAATTAAGCAAAAGCTAGCAGAGTCTTAATAGTATTTGGTAATCGGCTCTTACTCAAAAATCTTTAGAAACATAGAGGCTAGTAGAGTGAAACTTTAAGAATCTAGTTTACATAGTAATTTAGCCTTAAAAATAAGCAACCGCAATTTTTCCATAAATAGGTTCTCACCTTGAAGGTTTCTCAATGAAATCGAATCCTAATATGTCGTCAACACCCAAAGCCTTAAGCTGCAAAATCACATTAGCAAGGTTGCAGCGCTTAATTTCTGGCATTGTAGAGTCCTCAAGTTTCTCGAATTCATTTTCTGGATATAGACGAAAGCATTTTCCAGGTCCTTCACGCCCTGCACGTCCACTGTTACCAAAATATAGATGATCAATATGCACTTCCATTTTAGAAGAATTAAATATATTACTTTCATAGCTAAACTTAACTGCATCTGCATATGTAACATACCAATCATTATAACTAAAATATGATTTTAAAAAATAATATAAACATAAATTATAAAGAAAAGATATACTTTGAGTCATAGCAGTTTATTTTAGTTCTAGATGTATTTCCTGAACATATATACAAGAGACAGTATCATGGTGCAATGTGCATGCTTCCTGTAGATAATAGATACTATAGTTTTGGTTGGAGAGCCGATAGAAGAAATAAATGAAAAAGTTAAAATAAGGAGACAAGCCTAAGAAACACAAAACTTCGGCCTAAGCAGGAGTAAAACAGAATATATGGAATGCAAATTTAGCAGGAATGCACAAATCATAACTTAAAAGGTGACACTTAGAGAACATACAATATCACAAGTCTTGTGTTTTTAAGTACCTTGAGTACATTGTACAGAACATAATGACAGAAGTATAAAGAGATGTCAACAACACAATCCTAACAGGGTGGGTGAAATGGAAAAATGGATGTTTTGGGCATGATTAGCGATAGCAAAATACCACTCAAAGAAAAAGAAATTTTAACTTCATAATGATAAAACCTGCAATTTTTAATGGCACTAAATGTTGGGTGACGAAGAGTCAACAAGAAAATAAACTCTGTCATATAATAAGAAGGTTAAAATGGATAACTGGACACATGACATTATGAAGGAAGGTTTACTCAGTGAAGGATAGTCCAAGGGTGGTTTTCTTCTGTAGAAAGCATAAATTTAGATGCACTTGACTTTTTACGCGAGTTTTGGTTCTTGTCCCCCCATGATTTGGTTGTTTTATTTTATTTTACTTCAATATGAATATTTCTTATTGACATGAAAAGGTTTAACAACTATTATATTCGTGAGAGATACATAATCTAAATAGGAATGTAATCCTATCATAATCCCAAAGGACACTAACAAATCATATCATACCAAATATCAACATCTCAACAATAAACATCAATATCTCAACAATTTTATTTTATTTCTATTAATAATATTATTTTTGTTTTTAGATGAAGGATAGTCCACAATTGTTAGAGCCACTAAGAGTTAAGAGGTAGAGAGAAACCATAATAAACTATAGGTCAAACCGTCGAAAAATTTAGAGGTAGGGAATTTATTTTTAAAGTTAGCACATGATAGGGAATTATGGCTCCATTTGATTCATATAGCCAACCAGAACTAGTGGGATAAGGCCTTGATTTTTGTTGTTGTTATGCCTTGTCATGCATTCGAGAAATAATGATGCTAGATTCACGTCTCGAAAGTCTTATTTTTTAAGAAATTGCATTTTTGTGAGGAAAATCAAAGGTAAATTAACATGCTAAAGTTGAAATGAGAAAGTCATCTTCAGTTATTAAACTGAACCAAACTTACTTCATTTTCGTTACATTAACTAAATTAATTCAACCAACAACTGCAGCAACAATTAACATCAAACAGAATCAAACACTAAACTGACTGAAACAGAATCCAGGATCATACCTTCTTTGCAGTGCCTGGGACTTGGATGTAGGTACTACAATCAAAGATTCCATGCCTTTTCCAGGGTCATAGGAACGCGCTTTTACAAGTCCAGGATCAATTACATACTTGATTCCAGGAATCGTAATTGATGTCTCAGCAATATTAGTTGCCAATATCACCTAACAAAACAGCAAAGTGACAAGTTGGATACAATATAAGACAAGTGATTACCTGTTATGAAAAATATCAGAGGTCACTTTGAATCTACACAAGTTTACATTAAAGACTTGATTGGTGTTATTGTTACACACAAGCTCAAGTTAAATGGTGATGCCCAAGTGTAGAGAAACAGTATGGTTCTACCAACCACTGTTTTGTATATTCAAGTACTTTTTATTGGGATTGTTTCCAGGTAAGATGGCATAGTTCCTAAAGGAGAAGTGTTGGTCGATCAGAGGTAGTATAGGCGATGGCAAACATGTGAGATTGCAGATTTTCAAGACAACAGATAATACAATGCTGGTCAGTGTGATGATACAAAAAAAATTGTACAAATGGTACATTAGTACATCACAACCAAACTGATTAATTGATAGAAGCAGCAGAGAAAACGACAATGTTGGAAGAAAATCAATGTTATTTTTGAAATTGATATCAAAGCAATGTTGTCAATGGCGGGTGGCAGTCTGTGCCGGAGAACCAAAACCCCACCATACCGGAGCTTTGCAATGCCATTTTAGTGGATTATGGCAGAAAAACTCGCAATATCGGCCGTTATTTACCATTGTGGCGAGGCCAAAAACCGCCACATATATCCGCCATAGCACCGCCGTTGCGGAGATTTGTTAAACTATCAGAGGATTTGGATCATAATGGCATTGCTGTTAGAGGTAAGACAGAATCCATTACCATCAATCACAAATCATGAATGGAAATAGAAAATGTTAAGAAACCTCCTAAATGAGGCAACCAGGAACCAGCATTTACTACGTAAAATAACAGGCTCAGATGAGACAGTGCTTCGAGAGAATGAATAAAAAACCAGATGAAAATGTCAACTGTTATAAGTTTAAAACTACAAAAAAAATTAATAGTTAAAATAAACATACTTTCCAGATTTTTCTATTGAATTCTATGCAAAATTAATACAATAATTGAACAAACGATAAATTACTTAGTCACAGGATACCTTGCGAAATCCAGATGAAGCCGGTGCAAATGCTCGCATTTGCTGCTCAGATGGAAGAGCTGCAAATATAGGCACAGGTAGAAGCTTCTGACTTCCTTCAGGTAACTTTGTATTTGTAAGTCGCTCATTGATAAGCCTTTCAACAGATTCAATCTCCTCTTGCCCGGTCAGAAATACTAGTATATCACCGGGGGGCTCGCCTAGATGAACCTACAACACATCAAAGACATGTGACTATGAGTGTCAATGATATGAATTTTATTTCTCATCCACTGCCACAATGTTATAACCTTGTGTGTGTGTGCGTGTGTGTGTGTGTGTGTGTATATGCATAAATATGCATGAATGACTGATGCAACAGACAAACATGGATGAAAAAATGACATACATGAGACATGAAACTACATGTTATAAATGCATACACGGAACCACTGTGCCAATTAGGATCTAAAGATCTCATAAAATAAGCTAAATGTTAAACCACATTATTAAGTTAATACATGGACTGATTAAACTAATGACCTGGAAAATCGTTATCAAGGCAGCATCTAAATAATCTGTTTCTGGAAAACGAGTATAAAATAAATCCACAGGAAACTGTCTCCCTTGGATGTGAACAGCTTTTGCATCACCAAAGTACTCAGAGAAAGTGCGAGCATCAAGACTTGCAGACATGATGATTAGCTTCAACGGAGAACTCTTGTTCCCATTTTTAAGGTTCTGACCATCACTGATAGATTTTGAACGAGCAACTTGCACACGTTTTAGCAATCCCAACAAGACATCAGTGTGCACGGTTCTCTCGTGTGCTTCATCAACAATTATAACAGAATACTTAGAAAGATACTGATCCAGTAGTGCTTCCCTGTAAACACATGTAAAAACTGTTATCAACTCTCCCGTAAGAAAAATTGTACTAACAAACCATGACAAAAAGAATAAGATAGTTTAATTTGAAACCTCCTCAGCTACTTCAAATCACGTAACCGATTTAAATAAAGTAAGACAATATTCTTTGTAGTTTGACATCAAGAATGGAAGAAAAACAATTATAGTTTTACGTCTCGATAGGAAAAACTCCCATTAATCAAAGCTACAAAAAAGTTGTACCTCAGAAGCAATCCATCAGTCATATATTTGATCCTTGTTGAGTTCGAAGTAGAATCATCAAATCTAACAGAGTACCCAACCTTTTGGCCCAACTCAACACCACATTCGTCAGCAACTCGTTTGGCCACAGTGACAGCAGCAACACGTCTAGGCTGAGTTATTCCAATAACTTTTCCATCGCGGCAAAATTCAGCATCAAATAAAAACTGAGGAATCTCTACACAGTACAATGCAATAAAGTCATAGACAAAAACACTGAAATCCACTGTCTCTAAAAGCCCATTCTCAGTTTCTTTTCCTAAAAAACTAAGATTTCTGTTTGGATAAACAACTTAATTAAGCGGTTATAACATAAGTGCTTATCATGTAATATAAATTATTCATAAGCAAAAGTTCAAATAAATTCAAGCTGTTTTCTTATAAACTACCAGTTATTATCATAAGCTATCCTGAAGAGGTTTTGAAAACAGTTGATGAACATGTGAGTAAACTCCTCCAATAGCCTCAAAAGTGTTAATGTCAGTAAGTAAGTTCAAATAAGTTAATCCAAACAGAGCCTAAATTATATACTAGGATTTAAGGATATGATCATAATGACATTCATAAGAAGGATAAGATGTAACCTACGTGTAGTTTTTCCACTTCCAGTTTCACCAACAATAATCAAAATATCATTCTTCCGAACCTCTTGGATTAATCTCTTCTCAACTACAATAAAAAAATGCCAACATCAACATATAGTGAATGCGAAAGTAACATCATTAACACACAAGACACAAAATAAAACTAAAAACAAAGGCAATACCCGGAGCAATAGGAAGAGACTTCCTCTGTTGCGCAATCTTTTGTTGCCTGTAAAATTAACAAACTTGAATCAAACCAATAAACTAAAACCCTATTCAAAATTTTACAGCTTTTATCATGGATGAATTAGGAGAAGTAATACCAGGGAGAAGAATAGGTTTGCCTATTCCGATTTGCTTTGGGTTGGTGATTTCCACGAGCCCCCCAAGGCATGTTATGAGCACTTTCAATGATCACAGAGAGCAGAGAGAGAGGAGAGAGAGAGAGAGAGAGAGAGAGAGAGAGAGAGAGAGAGAGAGAGAGAATCTAACAAGTTTCTCTAACAGTGTGTTTGTTACGACTCCAAAGCGTCGTGCCTGTACTGTCGGAAACAGCGGGGGAGGGAGAGGTTTTTGGTGCAGCGGTGGTGAGGATGCAGTAGACGGCGGTGCTGTGAACGTTTGGAGCTGTGGACTCTGCAAATAATGGACGAGAAGGAATAGGTTAGGAATTAGTGATAAATTTATTAATTTTATTATGATTTTTGAATAAACTATTAAATTAATTAATATTCATTTATTTTTAAGTTGATTGATTATTCAATTGTTTTAATTAAATTAAGAAGAAAAAAAAGTCACTTATTTTTTACATTTTTGAAAATATAAAAATTGCTGAGAAGAAAGAAAAAGAATAAACCACTAATAAAAAATGCGCCAAATTTTATTACAAGGTTTGGCCACGAATGCTTCTAACTTCGACTACATTGTAGTTTTGATTCGTGTTATTGATAATAAATAAATTAGGGTTTATAATGTTATAATACTTATATAAATTAGAATTTTGATATCTACATTACACGTTGCACAAGTTTCTTATATGCTAACGAGTGTCTTCGAGATATGTTTTAAGAGTTTAAAAAGATTTCTTTTGTTTGAGAATACTTGTATTTAATGCATTATAAATTAAAATAATTGATTTTTAAAAAAAATTAAAAAAAAAACTTTTACTTTAAAAGACTTGTATTCAATGTGTAATACGGTGGGAGAACTGACTTTGGTGTTTTGCGTTTTATCGCAATTGTTGCGGATAGCGAGAGTCGCCACCGACTTTTCTTTTATCCAATAAAGGAAATAGTGAAAAGAACGGGAAAGACCTTTTGAGAATTTTTCTTGAGTTCGGGGGGTAGGTTATGAAAAGGGAAGGTGTTAGCACCCTTTTCATCCGTAGTTATCTACGGGCTCTTAGTTGTTAGCTCACTTTGAAAATGCTTTGTTTGAAATATGTTTGTGATTGGTTTTGAAAGTATTTTTGAAAAGTGCCTTCGTTTAGGCGAACTTTGTAATGATTCTCGTCTCTATAAGAATGTATACAAAGTGTTGACTTTTGAAAATATTTTGTTTTGAAAGTGTTGGTGTGTTTTGAAAGATGTTGTTTTAAAAATATTGTGAGCAAGAAACTATGAATGTTCTACCTACTCAAAATGGTCTTAGAGTTCTTTTCCACCTCCTTTAGATATTGCTACCTTACCATGGATTGATAAGAAGCCCTATCATTGGATGTGAAGGGACGGGCGTGGGTCGTCGTATAGTCATAGAAGGCAACCTATGAGACGTTTTAGCAATTTGTCGTGAGGGACTAAGATCGTTTTACCGAAGGCAACGTCGAAGGGTCATCGAGGAACTATGATCTTTTTTATCGAGGGTTTTTGCTAAAGCGTCCATATTCGAGGGACATGACTATTTTTCGAGGCAACAAGCGAGGTTATCCTAGAGGTGCGTGTGTAAAAAGTGTGTTTGATTGCATGCATTTTTGTCTTTGAGATTAGGGTTTTCTAACGGTTGATTTTATCTTGCCATACACACCTTAATTACTAACAATTATATTAAAGCGATAAATTGCAGAAATTAAAATTCTACACTATTACATCACTTGAGGGATAGAGGTATAATTTACAAATGGAGATGAAGTAGCAAGCCTAATTAAATTATTACAACCATATTGAATAAATGAATAGCAATACAAATATAAAATAGTGTACAAAGAAAGAAAGACAAACGTTATGTATTGACACATATCTTCATGCATTGATGCATGCCACTGCTTGTTTCTGAAAAAAAACAAAATCAACTCAGTATGAGTCGATACACAATGGTATGTGTCGACTCATTTCTTGTTTGTGTCGACACATTCGTGTTTTGTGTTAACTCATACACCTTTTGTCTCTCTTTATTGTGCCTGGATAACAGTATGCATCGATTCATAAGGTCTTGTATTGACTCATGCCTTGTTCTACAACTAAAATGAGTCGACTCATGCGTGTTTCGTGTCGACCCATAACCTGTTTTGTACCATATATGTGTTGACACATAGAGATATGCATCGACTCATAACCTGTTTTTTCACTTCTAACATTGTTCTGCTACATGTACAAGTCAGTTCTCAACATATAATTGATAAAAATGAAAAGCAAGCATATGGTTTGCTTCAAGGGTATGATATCTATGTTTATCTTCAAAAATGAATCACTAATGATGTTTGAAATGAAGAGCTCAAAGTCAAGAAGACTTACCTTGAAACTGAAATTTATGTTTTGAGTTTGAGTTGCTTTCAAGATGTTGTGATGATCAGAACAACTTCAGTGAACCTCCAGGAAGTTGTTTTAGCCCTTACTTTGTATTGAAAGTTGCTGAATCACTCCAACCTAGTGAAATGGTACAATATTGTTTTTTGTTTGTGTTTGGAATGTAATGGTAATAACACTACAGAAACTATTTTTGTGTTTGAACAATCTCTATGTGATGTGAAGTGTTTAAATAGTTAGTTTATGGGAAAGCTTACAAGGTGGAATAATGGGTTGAGGTTTTGTTTCTATGAATGAAGATAGAGCTAAATATAAGCAGAGGTTACAAAAAGTTTTGTTGGATTTTTTCAGATTTCTTTCTCTTTCTCTTTCAACAAAAGCCTCTCTCAAAAACTCTCTTAAAGCCCCTCTTCGAAACCCCTCCTTTGTGTATTGTGAAGCAGTTTATTTTTAGATGAAATGGACTAAAATTTGGGAGGGAAATAGATAAGTTTTTTGAACTGTTTGGGCACACTATTTCATTGCTTTTTAGATGCAGCTCTTATATGCTAATTGCAAATATGAGACTGATATAGTGCAAGTTTGGATAGGGTTAGAGGCAGCATAGCATGACTTTTTGTATCAGTTTTGGAGTGGAGTGGCAGCTTGGTACAGGGCTAGCTTTGTACAGGACAGCAAAATGTTTTTTTAACAAGGTTTTAGGCTATCATGTGGACAGTATAGCAGGCTGGTTTTTATGGACAGCTTTATGCAGCTTGTAATAAAGACAAGGCATATTTGTGGACAACATGGTGACAAAGTTTGAAGATTTAGTCAAAGGAAAAAGTTCAAACAAGACAAAGCTTATGATTTTTGTGACTTGCAATTTTAACTTAAAAATGCAGCTTTTTTGTTTACTTGGAAACTTGTAACAACTTGAATTATCTTTAATTATGGTGAGAAGATGTCATGAAATTAACATGTATAAAAATAACTTAGAAAAATTTCTAAGTCTTGCAAAGTTTGATTTTTGATTTTCTTGATTTCTTGATGATCAAATTTCATATTTTGAATGTCTTGATGAAATGTGATCTTTGAAACTCGAATTTGCTCAAAAAGTCAAAGTTTGACTTTTCAGTGTATAGTTGACTTTTTCATCAGTTGACCAAATTTCATATATCAATCCGCTGATCTCGAGAGATGAATTGAAATATGCGATTAGGTCAAAATGATGTACTTGAATCCTTTAGATCATGTTTCGAACCAATAAGTCATATACTAGGTCAAAAGTCAAAGATTGGTCATTCTCAGTTAAAACCCTAATTTGGAGTCTCAGTACTTCAAAGATGATTTTGTCTGACCAATTCCTTGAGAATCCTTGAGCATATGAGATCCTTTGTGAGGGATGTCTTGAAAAAGAGAGGGAAAATTTTGGGGTACAACAGCTGCCCATGTTCAATCTTCTTAAACCTGAAGAGTTAGATTGGCGGGTCCGCCATTCGTGACTTGAAGGTGGAAGATGATTGAACACTGGAGTTCCCAGAAATTTGCACTTGATGATGTGTTTGTTGATTGTGTTGGGAATGCGCTTAAAGGTGCCATTTGGAGAAGTGATAAATAATTTGTTGGAGATGGGCTTACAGATGTCGTCTAGAGTGACTGTTGGTAGAAGTATCAGAATAAATCTTTGGTTGATTTAATCTGAATGATATGTTGGAATGGGCTCGTGTTAAGCCATGTCTGGAAATGTATTAGAAGGAATCCGTGTAAGATTTCTTCAGGATGAACCCGTGTGAAATTGTATCTGAAAATTTATGAAAAGGAGCCCGAGTAGGGCTGCTATGGGATGAATCCGTGTGAAATTGTATCTGGAAATGTATGAGAAGGAGCTTGTGTAGGGATGCCTCGGGATGAGTCCATGTGAAGCTGCATCTAGTCGCATGGATAGTTGTTCTGTCTTGCTTCAGGAACTAATATTGGACCTGTAGAAAATTGTTGATGATAATTATCTGTTGATTGATCTTTCCTGAAAAGGTAAAGAGTTAGTTGTATGCAATATCATGATGTATGGAATGCATTGTGTAATGATGTTCTCAAAAATGAGGTTGTGTTATATGCGCTTCATATGCATATGCTATGATGTATGAAATGTGTTTTTGTCTTGGAAAATAAATCCCTGACTACTGCTTGGAGGTTTTGGAAAGTTAAATCTCGGACTGCTGTTGGGGATGAAGAGTATGCACATCTTCAAACCTTGTTTAGAATGTTTCCGTTGGGAATTCTTGTTTTGTTGTTTGAGGAGAAATCCGCTGGGAAACATTGATTTTGGCTCTTTGCTTGAAGAAACTCCGTGAGGAGTGTTGATTTTTGCTTGGGTATAGAGTTCAGGAGTTGTCCATTACTCTATTGGGGAATTATATTTGATTGAGGAAAGTGAAAGTTAGCTGTTATCTGGTCGTAATCTAGGTTTCGTAGCAACTTTCAACTTGCCGGGGGTAATAAAGTTAACTATTATTTGGTTGTATTCCAGACTTCGCAGCAACTTACTGGGGAAGATGAAATTAATTATTATCTGGTCGGGTTCCAGGCTTTGCAGAAAATTACTTGGAAGAATGAAGTTTAATTGTTATCTGGTCGAATTCCAGGCTTCGCAGTAACTTGCTCAGGAAAATGA